ATTTGAGTACCCACTTGCATTTTTGATATATTTTTCAATATATAATAGATATAAATACATGAAATATATGAAAAATTGATGTGGGTACTCAAATGAAAGGTCTCGATATGTGTAACATCAGGATGAGCTTATAACTTTAAAAATGTCAATAGTTCACAAGATATTTGTTAAAATTCCCTGTACACTCTTAAATATTAACATTTTTAAAGATATAAGCTCATCCCGATGTTACATTCATCAAGAGCTTTCATTTGAATACCCACATCAATTTTTGATATATTTTTCATATATACATATATATAATATATATAAATATATGAAATATATGAAAAATTGATGTGGGTACTCAAATGAAAGCTCTTGATAAGTATAACATCAAGATCAGCTTATATCTATAAAAAAGTCAATAGTTCACAAGATACAAGGTCATTTCTTAATTATGTATCTAGAGATACAGCATTTTCGAATGCAGCCTAAATACTAACAATAAATTGACTATCGGTCTTTGTACACAAAATTCTTCTTATTCTTTTAATATTATAGATGATGTTTCTTTTTTATTAAAAAGTAATTTTGTAATTTTTTTTTCTTTTTTCTAGAAAGAGTAGCAGCAGCACAACGAGAATTGACAATGTTAATGAAACCACTAAAATGCGACCTTTGTAATGCTGTTGTAAGGATTATTCAAACCTGTGTGATGTATGATTGAACTATCGAGAGAGACACGTGTTTATTTTTTTTAGGAAATCAGAAATAATTTTATTTATTTATTTTTTTTATTATTATTAAATTACAAAGTTGAATTTTTAATATTTAAATCAATAATTTTTAATTAAAAAAAAAAAAATTACATAAAATATTTTTGTTTAAAAATTTTTATTAATTAAAAATTAATAATAATAATAATAATAATAATAATATTAAAGAAAAAAAAAACAAATTTTTTTCCATTAAAAATTTATTCTTAACTCTGAAAAAAATCAACAAAGAAAAAAATAAAAAATTAAAGTGATACTTTATAAAGATAGACCCTTTTAAAAATTCAGTGACGTGTATCCTAAATAATTTACTCGTAATTTGAAGTTTATAATAAATTTCTAATCCTAAAATTAACCCCACGTGTTCTCTCTTACTCGCTGTTGCTAATATTAATACAATAATTGAATAATTATAGATGAACTCGACGCTCCAGGCGAAATTACACTACGACGGTAAGCCGCATCAGAAAAAAGTATCCATGTACCTTAACCAGAGCGTCAAGAGGACCAAAACAGAGACGGGTCCTGTAAACAGCGAAGCAAACAACGACTGGGACAGTTATTGCGATGTAAATTATTAAAAGTTGCTGTCTTAAATAGTTTATACGCTATTCAAGTACATTGTCTTGTTTTGTTGTTTTTAGGTATGTAAGACGTGGTTCACGTCCCAGACCGACGCTGCGCAGCATTACGCCGGGAAAAAACATATTAGAGCGACTACTGGGGCTCCTAAACAAAAGTGAGTTTTTTATTTTAAGGATAAATTGCTTTTTTTGAGCTCTTATTTATTTATTTTATTTAAAAAAAAAATGATTTTTTTTTTTTAAGAAAATTTCAAGTCGAATTAATTATTAAATTTTTAAAATAGGGTAAATGCACCAATTATTGACCGATTAAGGTTTTCTTTTTCTGTACTAAGCTATAAAAAATCTATTAACCTACTAAAAACAATTTGTCATGGATTTTATTAAAGTTAAATACTTAATTAATAATAATTAATAACTATTTATAATAAAAGTTAACAAAATTATATTAATTTTGTTATTTGAATGTTGAAATACTAAAATCACCAATTATTGACCGAAGAAACCCAATAAATGACCGACCGTTCTCCAATTAATTCACCGCTCAAATAATTATAAGTAATTTTGTTAACTACATGTATGTAATTAAATTTATGCAGTACTTTTGAAGTATTAACGACATCTTTAACAAAACTAATCATACAATATAATTTTAAATCGTACTTTTTTTAAAAAATAATATAAATAATAGCAATAATTAACATAAAGTCACATTTGTTTAGGTCACAAATAATCACAAATTCATTTTGATGAGGATAATTCTTCTGATTGACTTGAAATTTTTTTTATTTTTCTCCTTCTTTTTTTCAATTAAAGCTTTTTTACTAGCTTGTAACTCTTTTTTATTTTTTTAATTGCTTAGCAATTTTTTCTTCTAATAATTCGTTCTTTGATATAACCGTTCACTAAAAAAATTACAACAAAATAAAATTTAATAATCAAAAAAGATTTTAAGTATTATTTTAATTATAAATATACATTTTATAATGATTATTTTTATATTTACAAAATATTTAATGACTAAAGTACTTTAAACAATTGACAGATTTAATTTTGAGCTTAAGAAGTTAGTATTATAAATATACGGTCATTAATTGGATTGTGATAAAATCAGAGGGTCTAATAAATGACCGAATGAATTTTTTACTGGGTAAAGGGCTTCTGACGGATCCAATAGTTGACCGGTCTTAAAATAATATTAAAACTTATAATTTAACTTTATTTTATCGAAAAAAGTTGGAATCTGATCTTTTATTAACATAATAAAACTAAAATATTTAATATTATACCGATAAATATCACCAAATTAATGATGAAATGCACTCACTCTCCAATTGTACGCTAGTTATTTTTGACCGCTTTATGGCTGGTTGCGTTGTAAACAAACTCTGAATATTTTTTTAAAGCTATAATCACTGCGCAATTAATTGCGTTATTCTTTATTATGATGATTAAATGCCATATTTTTTTATTTTAATACTTTAAGAAAAAAAAAACCTTGTAAAATATTAATTAATTAACTTTTTTATACATCGGTCAACTAATTGGTGACCGGTCAACAACTGGTGCATTTACCCTATCTGAATTAAAAATTTTTTAATCAATTTATTTTTTTATTTATTAAAAATCTAACTGACTAAGCCAATAACAAGGTTACAAAAAGTTACATATTGTTAATCTAAATGGCACATGTTGTTAATAATTAATAATAATAACAATATTATTATATTATATAAAATTATGAAACGTAATATTATAAAGCTAAAGAACATAATATTGAAATAAAATAATACCAGCAACTCTGCAGTCACTATGTGACTGCCGTGATTTTTGAATTATAAATAAATAAAATTTAGCTTTATTAAATAATAACTTTTGTTAAATTGCACTGTATTTTCTTAAATATTGACGTTTTTAAAGATATAAGCTCATCTTGATGTTACACTCATCAAGACCTTTCATTTGAGTACCCACATGCATTCTTGATATATATTTCATATATACATATATATAATATATATAAATATATGAAAAATTGATGTGGGTACTCAAATGAAAGGTCTTGATGAGTGTAACATCGGAATGAGCTTATATCTTGAAAAATGACAATACTTCACAAGACATTTCTTAAATTGCATTGTACTTTCTTAAATATTGACGTTTTTAAAGATATAAGCTCATCTTGATGTTACACTTATCAAGACCTTTTATTTGAGTACCCACATGCATTTTCATATATTTTTCATATATACATATATAAAATATATGAAAAATTGATGTGGGTACTCAAATGAAAGGTCTCGATGAATGTAATCTTAGAGTGAGCTTACATCTTTAAAAATGTCAATAGTTAAGAAATTATATTGTATTTTGTCAACTTATGATATTTTTAAAGATATAAGCTCATCCCGATGTTACACTCATCAAGAGCTTTCGTTTGTGTACCCACATGCATTTTTGATATATTTTTCATATATACATATATATAAATATATATGTATAAATATATAAAATATATGAAAAATTGATGTGGGTACTCAAATGAAAGGTCTCGATGAATGTAATGTCGGGGTGAGCTTATATCTTTAAAAATGTCAATTTATAATTATTTAATTATTGAAGGGATTTATATTTTAATTTAATTGCATTATCTGCTAACCCACTGCGGCTTAAAAAAATAAAAAAAAAAACATGTCCTAGAAGTAAATCAATAAGCAACTAATTATAAAGCTAGTGAACAAATTAGCAATCGATTTGGTGAAGCTTTAAAAAAATTTTATTGCATAATAATAAAATCAAATAACGGTTTGTGGTATCGAGGTCACTGTTGTACGGCTAATTAATATTGAATTTATAAAATATAGATAAGTTTCCGGGCAAAGTTAAAAAAAAAGTATGAAAATTAATTAAATTGAAAAACTTTATGCACAATTTTATGAAACCGTTTAAGTATTGAAATAATTGAAAAAAAAAAAAAAAAAAAATTCACAATTTAATATAACAAAAATAATAATTATTAATTAATAATGTCAAATTTTTAATATTATTTTTTATTAATTTTTTATAATTATTATATTAATAAAAATTATTCAAAATTTAATTATCTAAAAAAAATAAGTATTTATATCATTAACAAAAATTTGAATTATTAATTATGAATTTTAATTTTTGATCTTAAGGCTAAAATATTGGCCGTATAAAAAAAGATGAGACATTTTTTTTAGAAAATAAAATTTATAATAATTTCTGTTAAAAAAAAAATTTTTTTTTTTTTTGATTTTAAAATTTAAAAAAATTTTGGCTCTAAATTATAAATAATTACAGAACACACAAAAAAAATTCAAACCAAGGACCATTAGACCCAACGGGAAGATTCGGGATTGGAACGGGGTTCCAAGCGGGGGTTCCAGCGGTTCCGGCGCCACCAGTCCCCGCGGTGGCGCCACCTATAGTCCCCGCGCCAGTACCACTAGCGCCAGTTCCTCCGGTTCCAGTCTGCGAAGTAGCCGTAGACTCGCCGCCAGTTATGGTCGACGGATTCGCATCTGGAGCAACCAGTTACGGTATGGCTTTACGTTGTGACTTGTGTGGGGTCTCTGCAAATCGACTGGAACAACTGGAGACCCATCGACGTGGTGCTCGGCATCTTAAAATGATGCGGATGAGTGGTCTGGCACCTCCAGAATCCAGTAAATTTGAATTTAAATAATAATTTTTTATTATTAACTTTTTTTAAATTATTTTTATTAATTTAATTTTTTAATTGTTGCTACAATATTATGTTGTTTTTTTTTTGTTTGTTTTTAGTGCAAGAGCCGGCGACAATTGACTATTCGATTTATCGGACGCCTTCTGGTTCTTACTACTGTGCGCCGTGCAACAAGTCCTTCACATCGGAAAACAGCTTTGGGCAACATGTCGAGAGCAAAAAGCACAAAAATCAAGTAAATACTAAAACACAGAGCAATCAAACGACGACTGCTGGAAAAAAAGACAAAAAAAAGACAAATAAATTGTAAATTTATAGACTTTATTTTTTAAACAAATGTTTGCAATTATGCAATGGAAATTTGTTAATGTGTCTTGATAAATTTAAAAATAAAATTATTCACTATTATTGATTTTTTGATTATTTAATTTTAGCAATACATACATAATTAAGAAATGACCTTTTATATTGTGAACTATTGACATTTCTAAAGATATCAGCTCATCCTGATGTTATGCTCATCGAGACCTTTCATTTGAGTACCCACATCAAATTTTCATATATTTTATATATTTATATATATGTATATATGAAAAATATATCAAAAATGCATGTGGGTACTCAAATGAAAGGTCTTGATGAGTGTAACATCAGGATGAGCTTATATCTTAAAAAATGTCAATAATTAAGAAATGACCTTTTACCTTGTGAACTATTGACATTTTTCAAGATATAATCTCATCCTGATTTTACACTCATTAAGACCTTTCATTTGAGAACCCACATCAATTTTTCATATATTTATATATATTATATATATATGTATATATGATAAATATATCAAAAATACATGTTGGTATTCAAATGAAAGGTCTTGATGAGTGTAACATCAGGATGAGCTTATATCTTTAAAAAAGTCAATATTTAAGAAATTTTCGGGCATTTTAACAAATATCTTGTGAATTATAGAAATTTTTTAAGATATAAGCTCATCCTGACATTACACTAATCGAGATCTTTCATTTAAAGGAAAATTTACTGGAAATTTTTTCTAAATCTGAACCTGAGATTTTCCAATCCAAATGTATAAAATTGACTTAAAGATTTTATTTGCTTTGGATGGGAATGGGATTGGAAGCGCCACAGCTATTTAGTTGCTGCTGCCGTACCGGTAGATTTAAAAATGTACTGGGAGTTATTAATGTCGGTAGTCGCGAGACCGTGCGCTTCCGCGACAGTAAATCGCCGGTACAAAATACCGCGGTGGGAAATAAATTAAACCAAGTGAGCGATAAGTCGTTGATGCTATATTTTCAGTCTCTTTTATTCGACCTCCCGTAGCTTTAATTCCTACACTCACTCTCACTCATCCGCTTATTCATTGATTTACTTCCATCCGTACACATATATGTATACATATATTTGTTTATTTATTTATTTATTTATTTAGCGACTGTTGATCTGAAATTCTCTATAATTATCCCCTCAAGTTGGTTGGTCCCTCAACCCGTTAAGAGATTCCCGACTCGCGAGAGCTCAAGATCAACCTGATCGAGACGGTAATTTAATAAATGTTACTAATTATTTTACTAACCGTAATTATTAATACACTCAAGACCGATCATCCGGTTAAATACACTCTAAATTCAATTTATCTTTAATCCCCGACGTATTAATTTAAATAAGTGTTAATATATTTTCATTTTAATCTTGATAGATAACTTCACATAATATAATATATTCTTCATTTTCTCATTTATTAATTATTTATTATTATTATTTTTTTATTATAAAATAAAACTTAAGAATTTTGAAATTTTTAGATAAAAAAAAAAATTATTATTACTTTTATAATCTATATTATTGAGAGAAAAAAAAATTTTGCCTCCAGGATACATAATTAAGAAATGACCTTGTATCTCGTGAACTATTGACATTTTTAAAGATATAAGCTCATCCCGATGTTACACTCATCAAGACCTTCCATTTGAGTACCCACATCAATTTTTCATATATTTTATATATTTATATATATTATATATATGTATATATGAAATATATATCAAAAATGCATGTGGGTACTCAAATGAAAGGTCTCGATGAGTGTAACATCGGGATGAGCTTATATCTTTAATAATGTCAATAGTTAAGAAAGTACAGAGCATTTTAAAAAATGTCTTAGAAAAATATATCAAAATGAAAAATAACAGAAGGTCACTGCTCAGTTACAAGTCTTTAATTATTTTTATTTATGAGTGATATTTTAATTATTATATTAATTTAATTTTCATTCAACAATTTTATTTTTTTGTTAAAGTAGTTAACTTATTTATAAAACATTAACTTAAATAAAAAGTAAAAACTTAGTTATTTAATTACCGAAGATAAAATTTTAAAACATTATTTCATAAAATTTTAAATATAAATTTAAATATATTAATTACCAAAATAAATTGCCTTTTATAATAGCTCGTTTCAGGTGAAACTTAATTACCACAATTTTTGTTTTACTTTGACGGTAAAACATTATTCACCATTTCGTAATTTTTTTTTTCTGTGACTACTGATTACAATAGTCTTTTTTGTCTGTACATAGACAATAGACTTTTAGGTCATGTTGCAATGAAACAATCTCCGTTTTTACTCCGGTGAAATCGGAAAAATTAATAGTGTCAATGAAGAATACTTTTTTTTTTTTTTTTTAAGTGTCCCATTATTTCAATCGATCAAATACAAAGAAGAAATAAGTGACAATAATAATAACAACAACAACAACAACAACAACAATAATAATAATAATAATAATAATAATTTAAATTGTTTGTGCGTATTCTAAATATATCACACGTTTTAACATTGCACATCATAGATTATCCACTGTAGACTATACAGCGTGTACATAACCTACTATAGGACTAATAGAAGAGTAGTATATCTGTCGCACGCACCCATCGATAAATCACGTCCTCTTGTGTTTCTTCTTCTCCATTTCTTCCTGGTAGCGCCTGTACTTTGTTTGTTTGTTTACTTATTTATCTATTACGGTGACAAATTTCGACAATTGGATTTCGGAGAAAAATAGACACGACCACCTGACTTTACAGACAGTTTATTTATTTCAAGTACGGAATAGAAGTAAGTATGGACAATAAATATCAGCAATTAGTTGGATTAAAAGTATCTCTTCTTATTTTTTTTGTTTTTTTTGTTCGTAAGCTTCATATAAATATATATAGAATACATTTTTTTATTCTATTAATTTTTAGTCTATTTCTTCTTTTATATTAAATTATTATTATTATTTCTTCTTTTAATTTCTTTTTTAATGATGAATTTCTTTAATTTTTACATTTCTTTTTTCAATTTTAAACCTATTTTTTCTTAAATAGTAAATATATTTTTTCTTTTGATAATTTTTATATTTTTCTTTTCAATTTTAAGGCTATTTCTTCTTTAATAATGAATGTAATTATTTATTCCATCATTTTTAGTTAACTTCTTTCTATTTTTTTAGCCTAATTTTTCTTTCGGAAACTTACTGTTTTTTGATTTTCTTATTAATTATTACATAGATTGAATTTAAAAAGTTTTAAAAATTGCCTAAGTCACGTGGATCTCCTCAATACTGCTTAAATCTATAAAACTGCAAAATATTATCGCTTAAATCCGTATCAATTAATTATAATCACCAAAAAATTCTTAAAACTGAAGAGAAAGCAATCAGCTGTTAGCACCGAAGCCGCCATTGAAGATATCAACCCGCGGGATATTCAAAAATCTTGAATATTGGCGGGAATTTCTTTAATTATTATTAATATTCAATTGACTAATAAAAAATATATTTGTAGATTGAATTTACAAATTTTCAGTTTTAAATCTCCTTAAAAAAATTATTCAAACTTTAAATATAATTTATTTTTATTAAGATTAATAAATTATTCAATTGGAATGATGTTATATGCTAATTTTTTATTATATAAATAAATTTTTATTCTTATTTTGTATTCCTATCTTTCTTTCAGGATTATTTATGATAACGATTAAATAAAAGTTTAATTTTAATAATAAATAACTTTAACAAAAATAATAATAATAATTTGTTGGTTTAAATATCGAGAAAATTTATTTAATTGCTTCACTCGGGAATTGAATTTTATTTTAAAAACACATCACATAATTTATTTTTTTTTTTATTTTAACTATTTTATATATTCGGATTATTGTTTTATTATTTTTATAGAGTAATAAAACTTTCACAATACCACTTAACTATTTAACTTGTATAGAGTGACATCATCAATTAAATAGAAATAAAAAGTGTATTTATATTTACTTTCTCTCGGTTAATCGTTTCGATTTTAAATTGCTGATTTTATTATGCTATATCTTTTGCTCGAGGTTTTTACTGGGTATCTAATTAAACACTAATTACTTCATTTTGTATAATATTTCTCCTTTATCACATCTTCTTTTAATGACTTTTTGCTTCTTCGCCAATACTTCTTTCAATTCTTCTTATTTGTTTCTTCGTCTTCAATTTATTTTCTTGTTCTTTATTATTTATTTTTATTAGGTGTCTTCTTTGACTTTACTTCTTGTATTTCTTCTCTCACTTCTTAATATTTATTTTTTATGAATTATTGATCTTATTTTTTCTTTAATTGTTTTTATTATTTATTGGATTTCATCCAAATATCGCGAATATTTGTCTTTAAAATTTATTTTTATATTTCTTCTTCTTTAACAAGCTTCTTAATATTTCTTCTTTCACAATATTTATTTAATATTTCTTCTTTAGTAAATTTAATAATAATAATAATAATAATAATAATAATAATAATAATAATAATAATAATAATAATAAATAAAAAAATAAAGTTGTATTAAAGAAGAAATAGTCTTAAATTTGAAATTAGACAGTAAACATAAATAAATTTAAAGGTTAGGGACACTCTTTTGGTGTTGTCAAGTGTATGCCAGTAATTCAGAGCGCTGTATTTTTTATTATTCAATAAAATATTAATAATTATTTATTAATTAAATTTATCGGAAATTTCCTATTAACAAATATTAATTTATTTAAAAAAAGTATTATTTTTTTTATAGATATTCTCCTTAAATTCTTATATCCGTTTGGCGCCAATGAAACTCTTAAGAATGCGAAAACTTTCGTGTTTTCCGAAATTCCACGGAGAAGAAGGGGAAGAATAAAGCAGATGGGAGGAAAAGAAGCTGCCAGGACTTAACAAAAAATAATAAATAAAAACAAAATGACAATAAAAGTAAGAGTATAGGTTAAAATAAAAATAA